CTTTCAATTTAATTAAAAAGTGTCCTGAAACATTTTTCAAGGAAAAGCAGAACAAGCAAGAATATGAATCATTCGGGGCGTTTATTAACATCATGTAGAAAATAGGAATATAAAAAATAAGGGTTTTGAATAGGGAGATCTTTTCAAAGGGACGATACTGGAGAATGTGGTTGGAGAACTAGAGAAAGAGAGGAACAAAGCGTGGGTGTTCTGAATGATCACATAAAATTTGAAAGGGAAAGAAAAACCAATAAATCAGTTAATCACATTCTTCCTCAATTGATCGAATCTATAAGACGGTGATCCATTCAATCTTCTGTCCAGTTCGACCAAGTAAAACAGAACCGTTCTCTGGATGAGAACTTTTCTTGCTCTTGACAGCTGAGGAGTGGCTGGAGAATCGTGTCTCGAAGGATTCGATCGTTCTCATCAAATTCTTCGGGGTACTCCATGGTTTGCGCTGTCTGCAGCTCCTGAAAGTTTATCATCTTCATAATAAATCAACTAGCTGGTGCGCCTTTGGCGCAATTTAATATAGCATTGAAAAATAAATATAAATTAGCGTGAACTTTTAAGAAAGAGTGAGGAGCAAAGCGACGAACCAGTAAAAAAGAGGTCCATAGTAAGGCCGGCGCCACATCAATTCTTAGACTTCTTGAGGATTCAGATGTTTTGAGACAATTGCTGTTTTGACACGACTTTGGACGGCATCTTTGGCAAACTTGAAGACAGCGGTTAGACATTGAGCTAAAAAAATAACGCATTTAATTTTTTCAGGTGTTCCCAGATATCATTCCAGAAATGTGTTTCTTCCAGAATTTCGAAAGTTATTTCAGAATTTCAAACTTTCATATTTTCAAATGTTCAAATTTTGAAGATTCAGAAAGGCAAAATCTCCAGGATTTCAGAAATTCAAAAATTCCTTATTCCAGAATTTCAGAAACTCAAAAATTCCTTATTCCAGAATTTCAGAAACTCAAAAATTCCTTATTTCAGAATTTCAGAATTTCACAATTTCACAATTTAAGAATTTCAGAATTTCAGAATTTCAGAATTTCGGAATTTTCGAAATTTCAGAATTTCGGAATTTTCGAAAATTCAGAATTTCGGAATTTCGGAATTTTCGAAATTTCAGAATTTCAGAATTTCAGAATTTCAGAATTTCGGAATTTTCGAAATTTCAGAATTCCGGAATTTCGGAATATTCGAAATTTCAGAATTGGGAACTTTA